CATGCACGATTTATCGAATACCCAAGCTTGATGCCTCACACAAGCATGCAGAATTCAAACTCCGAACTTCCCACGGAATGATGTAATGCAAAGAGAAGCACTGGTTTGGTTATTTAGACCAAAGGAACACACACTGACACACACATGCACACACATACAACCAAGTCTTTGCATGGTGGACTGAGTGCCGCAACATCCATGTATCAGTTAGTCTTCGCCTTAAGGCTCCTTCACCGCTAGGCGTCCTTCACCTCTAGGCGTCCTTCACCGCTAGGCGTCCTTTTGAGTGCCGCTAGGCTGTTCTTCGCCCATTTGGGCTCCTTCTACTGTCATCTCCATGACAGTCATCCTACACGACACGCTAATGTGTCGCGAGATAATCCTTGAGCTGGGACGAATCCCTGCGATGGTGTCGGCATAATCTGCCGTGCACCCAGTACACACTGCTGAATTGGGTTTGAAATGGATCGTGATGTGAATGATCTCGTTTGAATTCCTTAGAAACCTGGCCAACACTGCTGATAGAAATTGCACCCTACTCTACCAAACCGCTGTAACACAGGAGAGCTTCCAAACTAGCTCGGTACTATGCTAGCACAATGCATAAAAACCGCTAAAAGTTATAGCACAATGCCATGTCGATGCAACACATGAAGACTCCCGAATCAGTTCGATGCCATGCAAGTACAATACAGTTTTTTTTTAAGTATGGCTCAGTGCCATGCCGATGCAACACATGAAGGCTCCCGAATCAGCTCAATGCTATGCAAGTACACTATATGAAAATCCCCAATCGGTGCCATGCCAATGCAACACATGAAGGTTCCCAAATGAGCTCGGTGCCCAGCGCAACACATGAAGGTTCCCAAATGAGCTCAGTGCCATGCCAGCGCAATACATGAAGGCTCCCGAACAAGCTCGATGCCATGTCAGCGCAATACATGAAGGCTCCCGAACGAGCTCAGAAACTCAAAAACTGCTAGTGCAAGCAATAGAGGAGACAGTACGAAATGTGAAATTCTTTCTTAAAGCAAACAGCGTCATAGAGGAACAGAAATCAACAGTTCGATTCGCAGGTACGTGCAGTTGATCAGACTGCATATCCTCTCCAAACATCAGTAGCTTCGTTGGCCACGGACTGATGAATGGAGCCGTGGCCCCCTGCTCTGCTTTCACTTCAAGGGTTAAAGTACGTATGTATATGAGTTTGTGCCTGCATGTGATAGCAGGATTCACACACACACACGCCACCTTTCACACACAACTTTGTCACCCACCATCTTTGACACCCCATCTTTCACACCACTTTGTCACACACACACCACCTTTCACACACAACTTTGTCACACACCATCTTTCACCACACCATCTTTCACACCACTTTGTCACCCACCATCTTTCGCCGCACCATCTTTCACACACCACTTTGTCACACACCATCTTTCCCACACAACTTTGTCACACACACAACTTTGTTTTACTTCTCGAATCCTCCACCACCTCCTTTGTCTTTCCTTTCTTCCCCCTCCCCGCTACAACATTTGGTGCTCATTATTGGAAGAAGTTGCCATGTGGGGTTATCTGGTCCTTTAATTTTCCTTTTCTTCCCCTTTCTTTCAACGGCTTTCTTTATTTCTTACTTTCTTTTGGACATTGACGTTTCAGCAAATGTAATTCTATGACTGCTCCGGCGCACGTGAATGCAAATTGGAGCGACTTTACCTGTTCCCCCAAAATAATCGCAACATTTATCCAGAGTCGGAGTGACTTCAACAGGCGTAAGTATCAGAATATCTGCTAAGGAACACTCACAATCAGTGATGTTCATTTGGAAACAATTTCTCGGGTGCCATTTGGTATGCCATTCGTCACTTACCCGCTCTGGTTGTGAAAAGTTGGCGGTGCTATTCCCCCTTTTTCATCAATAAGCATGTGGGACCTCAGGACGTTTGCGATTGTAGGCATTTCACCCCATTCAGCCCCAGAAATTCTATGCTGAAGTCCCCCAGCTATGGGTTTGTCTTGAACTAGAGGATCCCACTTCAAATACCTACTTGATCCTACTTGTAATCGAAAATCCATGATGATCAACAGGATTTTCAGATCTTCAACACGATTTTCAGATTTTTCCCCAAAACTGTTCGAACAAAGCCCATGGATTTTTGGCCGTCAAGTCCCCATGTTTTTCGCCGACATCACCAGAACACCATGGGACACCGCTGGACATCCCGCCCTGGCCTTGCCCTGCAACACTTCTGTGGCAGTACTGAAGTTCAGGATCCGAGCGATGCCGACCTGAGCGATGCATTTCGCTGTCGATTTTTTCACATGTCTCACGTATCGATGAAATGGATCTATTCATATATCTTTAGATGCATACTATCTATATCTATATCTAAGCTACATGTCTACATATATATATATATCATGTATCTGTGTGTTATCTCTGTGTGTGTGTGCTGAGTGAAAAGGCTGAACGTTGACCAGGTGTCTCAGTGTGTCTCAGCTTTTTGAAGCCTTCCTTAACAATGATGTCTTGTTTGGAAAAATACCCAGGGGGCCAATTTTGGATAGCATATGCAATCATTTACCATATCCATCCATCCATCCATCCATCCATCTATGTATCTATATATGTGTATATCCGTATATAATTTATGAATACATATACTTATATATATATATATACATCTCCGTATTGCTTCTGATGGAGGCTTATATCAGAATATCCCTCCTGTTTCATTGACCAGTGCTGAGGTTCCTGCAATGCAGTCTACCATTGAGCCTCAATGTCTTTCTGAGTTGTGCCAAGGGAACTAAGCAGCTAAGCTAGGAAGTTGCTCTGGTGGTTGAGCCATCCATAAAAATTAGGATATCGTGTTTTAGTTTTTTTCGGATATCACATAGAGTTCAAACCCAGCAAATATGTGGAATCTTGTTTCATTGTAGAAAAACATGGTTTGTTTTTGAACATAATTCAATGGGAATGTGGATAAATATATATATATATCTAAATGGCTTTTGAATATGATGGGAATGTCAATGAAACATACCATGTCAAATTAAAAAAAGCGATGCTTGAGCCCGCCATCGAGTGGTGAGAAACTTGACGAACTTGAAACTACAGTTATTTCGCCAACAAATCTGTGGGCGCTTCCTGATCTTCCTGTTCCCCCCAAATATCGCCCTTAAAAAAAAAAAAAAAGATTTTTAAAGGCTTGGTTAGTTACTTTATCAAAAAATGATGTCTTAATTGTTTCATTTGATATTCCCATCATTTTGGTGAGCTTGATATTCCCCGCACTCGAGAGCACAGATGATCACGCCGATGTCCCGCCTTCGACCATGGCATTGACGCCAGAATTGGCTCCTGCCATGTTGGAACTCACGATGTTGACTCCAGCCTGCCGAGGATGGTTTTGATGCCGGCTTTGAGTCCAAAGATGTGGGAGTGATCCGCCATGTTCAGCCGGAGAAAATCATGATAGAGTCCGTCGTTTTTTGGTGCTTCTCCTACTTTTTCCAAGGAAAAAAGCAGCAAAAAAAAAAAAAACATGGTTTTTCGAAAAATTGTGTGATCATAAAACTGGAGATACATTCATCACCCCATGAAGCAATGCCCATAAATGGCATCCAAATGTCCTGAAGATGTGCATATTTCCCAAACACCAGCGATCGCCTCGCCAAAGCCCAAAGCTAAAAGAGATCCCAACCTCGGACCCGTCGGATTCCAGAAGGAAACTTCGGCTTCCAGCTGGATACCCAAACTGGTCAACGTTTACATAAAACGAACTGGAAAGATCCACCATGCTATTTTCATTGGAAAAACCACTATTTCGACTGGGCCATTTTCAGTAGCTACTTGAAAAATTACCAGAGGATACTTGATGTATCCAACGTTTGCTAATGCTTTTTTTTGTATTATCAGATACGAAACTGACTGAAAAGTTGGCAGATTTACAGATCTAACCATATCAACAAGCTTTTTGAGCCGTACCGAAACGAAATCCAGCGACTCATGATCTGGGTCCATGTCCCCAAAACTGGCACTAGAAAACAATGAACACATCTCATGCCGTATCATATGTCATGTCATGTCATGTCATGTCATGTCATGTCATGTCGTATCATATGTCATGTCATGTCATGTCATGTCATGTCATGTCGTATCATATGTCATGTCATGTCATGTCGTATCATATGTCATGTCATGTCATGTCATGTCATGTCATGTCATGTCATGTCGTATCATATGTCATGTCATGTCATGTCATGTCATGTCATGTCGTATCATATGTCATGTCATGTCATGTCATGTCATGTAATGTCGTATCATATGTCATGTCATGTCATGTCATGTCGTATCATATGTCATGTCATGTCATGTCATGTCATGTCGTATCATATGTCATGTCATGTCATGTCATGTCATGTCGTATCATATGTCATGTCATGTCATGTCATGTCATGTCATGTCATGTCATGTCATGTCATGTCATATCCATCTATATAATTCTACATATGTGTATATATATATACATATGTGTGTGTCATATCTATCTCTATTCATGTCGGGGTGTCTGCTGACATGTGCCTTTCCCCATAAACCACGTTTCAGCTCGCTCCGTTCCCAGCCCGTCGTCGCTCAGCTGGGGAACTTGATGATGGTCTTTTCCAGGATGACCGTTTCCATGGGTTCGGAGGCTTCTGTCCTGACCGAAGCTTGGAACTAGGAATGTGCTACATATGTGTACATATATGTGTATATATATATGTAAATATATATATATATATAATTATATAGTATTATATAATCTATATATATATACTACACGTGTATGTGTTGGTGCGTCTATCTATCTGTGTTCTGCTTATCTGTACACGCATTGCCGCATAGCTTAAAAGTAGATCGCCTCAGGCTGGATACAAATCAGCAGGCCACATTTTCTGTCGCTGCTGCTCGCGCCATTTTCTCGGTGTCGCAGCATCGGGTCTTCCGGTCACATGAAGGGTCGCAGCGCCTCGACACCTGGGATGCTTGTTGGCTGCGAAAATGCCCTGGAGATGTTTGGCGTTGTTTGGTCCGAATGGAGCCACTAAAAAATGGCTTTGTCGAATGGAGCACCCCCCCCAATTTCAGGTGTATCATAATGTTCCCTGTTTACAGTGGCCCATGAAGCCCTCCTCTCTGCTTAAGTGAAACGGCCATGAATTGGGGTATACCATTGCATACGCCATTGCCAAGCAGCATGAGACCAAGGTGTGGTAGTCGCACTTTCCACCAGCGATGGCCTTCTCATCGTTGAAGCGCTTGTTGTCCCGGGACATTTTGAAGCACAACCAGCCTGCCATTTCTGGTGCTTGGGAATCCCCTGGTGTAAACCACCACCATTCTATCGCCGGGATTCCGGATTTTCCCTGAAATTTGGAACATGATCGGTCAAAATCTCAGCATCGCATCTTTGAGGTGCCTCCATGTTCATGGTCCACCCAATGCTCCCAGACGTACTGCCAAAGGCAAACATACTTCTCCACATACAAAGGATCCTTTGTTGCCTGGCGGAAGTTTCTGACTCCAAAAACCACTTGTTGGGTCAGTTGAGGTTGGTCTAAAGGCAGACGACCCAAAAATCATTGCTTTCCCCATTCAAATGTGATTGCGGGGGTATCTGCAGGATCCTCATGGTCAAACAGACCCACTTGATGGGTCAAAACCCAAAATACCATATATTTCACTGGGATGTTCATTGTCATCCATAACTCCTGCTATTTTATCTATTTTGCTGTGAAAACCCGAAAAACAAAAAATAAAAACAGGGTTTTGACATGTTTTGACCCAGTTCGCCATTGACTAAGCCAGCCTCATAGAGAAGGGAAGCAGTGGCAAGTGATTCGCCCTGAACCTCTTGACAAATTCGGCACCGAGGGAGAGAACATGATAACCATGATGCGGTACCTTATATAGTAAGTGCAAAATATGTGTTATGACTTAACATATATATATATACATACACACACATAATATGCTTAGCAAATCTCCACGTTCCCACCCTGCCCCTTTAGACACGTCTATTGAGGCTTTTCAGCAATGCTGTCAGGCCCAACTCAGGTCCAACTTGGGTCCAAGCCCAAAAATACTTCTCCTCATCGCACCACTTCCTGATTCACAGGGGAAAAGCAACAAGTTGGTGGATTCCAGCCGAAACAGTGGATGCAACGGAGGAGAAAATCGAATTGGAACAAAAAAAAGGAACATATGGCAATTTGGCAAGGGAAATGTGGTGATAACCTTTTAGTGGATTTGGGGTATAGCCTCCAGAATTGTTTCACCATTGAAAATCATCCCTTAAAAATTCCAGGACTATCCCATCCCAAGTAACGAGAGGATACTCCTTGGACCGTCCCTCTGGATCCCTCAGCTCCATGAAAAGTCCCCCATGGATTTCCCAGCCATCTTCGATCTTCGACCGATGTATCCTTTTTTGGAGCCCATTCTGACCTGACCAGTCATCCTCTTTCACAGAACATCGACCGAAAATGACAGAAATGGCCAGCCTGAAAAAGATTCTCTGGTGAAAATGATGTCTCGCCCCATTTCTATCCAGAAAATCTCCCCCCATTTCAACGTCACATGACCCCCATAGAATCCCATTCTCCGGGACGGGGTCCCCCCTTGTTGCCCAAGAAGTCGGTCCTGTCCGGCCCGAAGCCATATACTAAACCACCATAGACAGGATCCCAAGAAAGATCCCACGCCCCATCAAAGAGCTCCTCTTCAAGTGCACTTCGGGCTAAGCCATGAGACATTTACCCTGTAATTTAACAGTTTGCTATTGAAGCCATGGCCCAGTCGAAATAGTGGATTTACCCAGCTAGAAAATGGTGATTTTCCCATCAGTTTTTTGTATGTTTACCAGGGAGTAAGATGTCGATCAAAATGGTGGATTGCCCAGCCATGTTTCAGTACCAGAGTCTACCATTCGGATTCTATGGATTCTATGAGCGAAAATCTGGATTTGAGATATTTAAGCATTCAATTTTGAAAAGGATACACCCAATGAATCATGGAGATATATATATGTATGTATGTATATATATATATGTATGTATATATATATATATATAGGTTTGACATGGTTTGTCCGGATATAGTGGATTGACCCCCCAAAATGGCCACACACCAAATAGGAAAGTGATGGTAAATCAGTGGATTTCGGGCCGTTCGGGGGCCAGAAATCTCATTGGATTTCCAATCGGTGGTCAGGTGGTCATCCCATCTGCGAGACGTCGCTCCTTGGCCCGATTCACCATCCAGAATTTGGGTCGATGCCGGTGAATATTCAGAAGGTTCTTTGCCCATTCAATCCTGAGATCAGCTAAGGCCCCCTAGCACGGCATAGGAAAATACAGAAGACGCTTTTGATTTTAATAGTACAGACATCAGTTTATCTACATGATAGTGAAAAAATGTATCATACTTTGCTAATCATATGAGTCGAGATAAACTTGTGTGTGCTTCTTTTATTGAAACTAGGCTACATGAGAGCAGGTGCCACATTGCACAACGCGCAAGGGGTGAGACATATTGTTTGGTTTCAACTTGTGGGGGATATAGGCATGCAAAACTGCAGAAAATCAAAGTGCTTTAATAAACACTCGAAACTGTATATTCTTTACTATTCCTATGGATCAAAGTACTATCTGAGGTGATATTTAGGGAACGATTTTAGTGGTTAAGTACCTTATCAGTTAGGATTTGTATCCACTAGCTATAAATGATCTTAAGCCAAAATCTACTTTCATGCGAGCTGTACAGAGAGTATACAGATATATTCTAAGTAATATCAAGTGTGTATTATCATATCATATATATATACATAAATACATACATATTCACATCTATTCTACATCTATTCTACATGTATTCTACATGTACTTCGCCGGGATGCTGATGCCCTGGTTGAAAGCCCCAAGGTCTGTAGATGTTGGAAGGGTCGTTCTTGTTGTACTCCTGACACCACGGATTTTTCTGGGGAAAATATGGGAAAATCGGCAGGAAAACCATGGATTTGTCATGATTCTGATGAAAGCATCGTGGTTTTTCATGGTTTTTCCCTTCCAAAAACGGCCTGGAACTACGCTAAGATCAACTGAACGAAGCTCCGCTGTGAATCGAAGCAGATTGGAAACGCCTAACTAATGGAATATAGTACTAATTATTACCAATTATATGTACAAGTTTTCCTCAAGCTTGTCAAGAGGGTGTTTGAATTAGCTCTGACCTATTTCACTGGGCATTTCAAGCGCAACCAGCCAGAGGCTCTTGCAGGGCTTGTGTAGCTTTCGGTCATTTCATTCTTTATTGGTTTTTGAGTTGTTTCCTCTTTTTTTTGCCAGATATAATTCTTATAGTTATGCCATAGAACAGCTCTTGTCTTGTCGAGGATGGCATCCTCGGCCAATACCGGCCCTTGGTATGAGCCAGCAAGACAAAGGGGATATGTTAGATAACTTTGGGGCATGCTTGGGTTTTGTTTTATATGTTGGGACGTCAATAGTCATTGAGGATCTGAACAGTTTTTTGGTCGTTCGGCAATACAACGCGTCTACTTACCCATTGTTTCTGCAAGCTCGCTCGTAGTATTTTTGGCAAAGGTGTTTGTACAACTTTTTCAGCAGGGATCAAAGAAAAACCAACATTGGATTCTACGTCGCAATTGCGCTAGTGGAAGCAGAAACTTCCTGGCCGGTTTGATGTGGGGACAGCCAAGGGTGGCGACTGCCAAACTCTCAAATCCCGAGAATCAGTTGAAATCATGCTACCACTGGTGGTTGAGCCACCACTCTGGTCCATGGTTGGAAAAATATATAAGAGTCAAGATAGGACACGGAAGCACGAACTGGTACAAACCACACAAAACCACAAACCTCCGTTGAAAATCTCCGTTGAAAACATCGCCCCGTCTCCCAATCAATTTCGAAGTCGACGGTGTAGTGCTCCCAAACAAAGCCACCACCTTTCCAGGACCAGTGGTGCAGCCATATCATCATTTGCTCAATGAAGATTTCCAGACACACCCATAGATATATATAACTGTCTATATATATATACACATATATAGTATTCTATATATATTTATATATAGTATTCTTGGTACTATGTGACACATGTGGTAATGCGTTTCCCTTATGTGCTATGGTCATCCATCCCGAAATTCGATTCCCTCGAGTGGGATGATGTCACTATGGTCATCCATCCGTGCCACTATTTTATACAATTTCTGGATTGATGACCGGGCAAGTCACCAAGTTTTTAACCGTAACCCAGTCCAAAAAGTCCATCGTGCCTTTCGCCGCCAGCTTCCTAAGTTCAACGAAGATGGACGACGGAACTATGGCTTTCACGACGGGGCCAGCTGGGTCTGCCCAGAGAAAATTGTGGGTCGAATATCACCGAATCTTTGGACAATTGATGACAATTGTAGCTACAAATCCTACAAATTTAGAGCTAAAAGATGCTAAATCTGACCCATCCTCCGCCAGTACTCCACGTTGGACTCCGACTTGGAGTCATGGATGTTTTCCGGAAAACTTTGACACTCGGCGTGGAAGAAACGTTAGAAAATCAATAGATATAATTCCTCTATACAAAATACTATATGATGCATAATTTGACAATGGAATAACTTGGGCGTGTCTGAAAACATGGTGTAGACCCTATCCTATGGCCATCTTCAATGGGGACCATGATCTCAACAGTCAAATCTTGGGTTTTTTCCATGGGTTTCCCCCTGTGGATTATTCCCCGGTTCATCGTTTCACTTGTCCTGGCGATCCTGAGCCGATGAACGGAAATCCCATCGAACTGAAATGTGTTAGAACTGGAACTATGGTAACATGAAACCCGTTTCCATTCGCAATACCATGGCTGGAAAGTCCCCATGTCGTGGATGTTCCAGCTCGCCACGGTGGGGTTTCCAGCTCGGCATGGGGGATCTCAAGTCACCAGGCAGGTGTCAAGCTCATGACTGGATGATTGGGGGGTGCCCCCATCGCGTTTCGGAAACATCCACATGAAAATTAATTCTTAACAACTGGTAATAGTCGGTAATAGTACAATATTGATAATATATGATAGTATAGTGAGAATAGTAATAATAACAATAATGATAATAACAATATTGTTACTATACATATTGTGAGAATAGCAATAATAATAATAATGATCTTGGTAATAGTATTAACAATAAGGTGATCCTCCACCAGGTCCCAATTCAGCTGTGTGTCGAAGCAAAGGTCTCTGCCAAAACTTCCGCGCGATCCAAGTAGCCTAGCTACGCGAGTTCTGCGGGTTCCCGGTTGCTGAAAAATCGAACTGCTGGAATTGCATGTGTTGTGTAAATATACATGTGTATTGCATGTATGTATGTATGTATGTATGTATGTATGTGCGTACGTATGTATGCATGCATGCATGCATGCACGCACGCATGCATGCATGCATGTGTGTGTGTATGTATGTATGTATGCATGTTTGTATGCATGCATGCATGCATGCATGCATGTGTGTGTGTATGTATGTGTATGTATGTATGTGTATGTATGTATGTATGTATGTATGTATGTATGTATGTATGTATGTATGTATGTATGTATGTATGTATGTATGTATTATGTATGTATGTATGTATGTATGTATGTATGTATGTATGTATGTATGTATGTATGTATGTATGTATGTATGTATGTATGTATGTATGTATGTATGTATGTATGTATGTATGTATGTATATTATGTATGTATATTATGTATGTATATTATGTATGTATATTATGTATGTATATTATGTATATATATTATGTATGTATGTATGTATGTATGTATGTATGCATGTTTGTGTATATATATATATATGCAGTATTCACTGTATATATCCATATACATACACCTTGTATATACACCTTTTATATATATATACCTTATATATATGCCTTATATATATATGTATACCTTATATATATCTACATATATAAAGAATATAGATGTAAGGATACATAGATATATATATATATATAGTGCGCATATATATATATGCATATTGTATATATTTACAATTATACGTAAGATATATATATATAGAGAGAGAGAGATATAGACAATATATATATATATATACATATATATATATAATGTATATATGTAAGGATATATATATATATATAAGGTATGTATGTGTATTTACATATATATATATACACTATATATATACATATACATCTGATTGTACATGCCAGAATTTCTGGACCAAGCAGTCTGATGCCTCTCACCTACAACATGTGCCGTGTTCCAGCCAAGGGGCGCTGCTCGCCAGTGGCTTCAAATGCTGCAATCAGTGCCTTCAAATCAAAAGTGTGCGTCCTGTTGAAAGAGAGAGTGCATCATCAACTTCACTGAAGATATTGGAGGCATTATGAGGTATTGGATATCTCCGATGTCTCCCACCTCGCACATGTGCATGTTGGAGTTCTGCCCGCGATAGCTGTTGTCAACCACACCTGGCACATCGCTTTCCTCCAAGAGGTCTGAGATTTTCTACATGGCACAACTGTCTGCCTTCAGCGCTGATGGTGTCCAAGTACGCACCCCTGCAAAGCGAAGCGACAGCAACCGACAGCAGGGACCGACTGAAGATGCCATGGGCATGGCAACTGCAGCTGAAAGGCTTGTCAGGGAGCCAAAATTTGCGCTCCAGCATGTCAAAGACGCGAGCTACGTCTTTGTTGTCCTTCACAACCTGGGTTGCTGCGTCTGAGAGGCTGCTGGACTGTCATGATCAACAAAGAAACATGTGACTCTGGTTGATTTTACCAAGCCACCCCCGCCGTTCGAGCGGCTGCATGGGCAGCAAGGATAAAGGCATAGCCATAAGCTTGCTCCACCATGTCCTCCAACAGAAACAGGTTTCTCCCCCAACGGGCGATTTGCCCAAAATTCAGCGGCAAAATGCAAAATAGCTGGGAATTATGGATGTCTATACCTCCAAAATATGGAATATCATAGGTTTTCACTCATTACCCGGGTTTCCTCAACCCCAATGATCAAAGGAGGCTGAAAACCGTCTCCTCCGGTTTGTGTTGTCGCACTGTGAAGGCATAACTTTGCTTTGCAGGCACATAGTGCACCTTCTCGATATACCTCCAAGTGCTAGGCCCGCTCGCCCCACGTTGAACTGGTTTGCTTGGGACAATTTCATTGGTTTCTGTGTCTTACATGTTTGAGAACATCTGAAGCGAAACCTTGCGAGGTGAACGAGACTAATACCGAACTCAATTTCACCATATTGAAGGCCAAAATGGTAAAATTATATGATAAAGATTGATAAAGTATGATAAAATCAGATATCAGATCCACAAAAAAGGAAAAGAAACGGCTGCTTCTAAGCTGCTCCAAACCATGTTTGCCAATCTTCAACAGCTCCGCATCGCCCAGAAGTTTTCCAGCCAACATGAAATTGATCACCTCAGAATTTCATCATCACTGTTGCAAGGCATGTGGTGCAACTGGAGTCAAATTTCAGATCCAACAGCCAAGTCTTGGTCTAGAGTCTGGATGTTTTTCTCTCCAGCAGGTATCAAAGTTTACTATCCTTCCCCACCAGACCAGGTGTTTCAAACAAGTTGCCATTCGAGCGCTCGAAACGATCTGCCGAAAATCGGGGTTGAATTTCCTTGGATCACAGAACAATCTGTCTCCCACGTCTTAACCTCACTTCAAATCCACAGGATTCTTCCTCTGCTGCTTCGGTATGTGTCTTTGTGTGCGTCTGCTTGTAACCTACACCATGTCACACCCATTTCTTCAGAACATCAGAACGGGTGCTCGCTAGTTGCTTGTGCGCCCCCGTTTTGTGGATAAGAACCATATAACAAGGCGGTGGCGGAAGTTTCAAAGATAGGGCACTATAAGAGAGGTGAGTTGCTGTGATGCATGGATGGCAGAGCGAATCCACTGATGGACTGAGAGGTGGTTGGAGTTGTTTTTTTTGGAGTGGTTACAAATGTTGCAGTGGTCGCCTGGTCGGTCACCCCACCCACAACTGATGTAGCGTGGTGTAGTGCAGCTGTAGTTGTAGTTGTGGTGTAGTGGAGTTGTAGTTGTAGTTGTGCTGTGGTGTAATTAGTGTAGTGTAGCGTAAGTGCAGTTGCAGTTGCATTTGCGGTGGTGTAATGAGCGCAGTGTAGCGTAATGTTACCTAGTGTAGTGTAGTGCAGCTGTAGTTGTAGCGCAGCTTTAGTTGTAGTTGTAGTTGTAGTTGTAGTTGTAGTTGAGTGGAGTGGAGTGGAGTGGACTGGAGTGGAGTGGAGTGGAGCGGAGTGGAGTGGAGTGGAGTGGAGCGGAGTGGAGTGGAGTGGAGTGCAATGTAGTGTTGTGTAGTGGTTGTAGTTGAAACTGCTACAAAACCCTCACGTTTTGCTCGCTTTGTGCCTGCCACGCAAAACGACGTCCGAACTTCCAAAAGTGCTCCGTACCCCTCAGTGTTTCCACTTTTGACGTGCTTCGCGACACAACGGCGTGCACTTTTTCGCCATCTCAACTTCCAAAAGTGGTCCGACAATGGTGTGCTTTGTACATTTTGACTCCGAAATGTTCTTCGCGCCGCAACGGCGTGCACTTTTTCGACGTCGCAACTTCCAAAAGTGGTCCGAACCTGCTGTGTTTTGTACATTTTGACTTGGAAATGTTCTTGGCGCCGCAACGGCGTGCAATTTTTCATCTCGCATCTGACCACATGGCTCCGCACCCGCCGCTTTAGTGAGCCTACTTTTCGACCCTCCGGAGCCACAAATCATTGGAAAAACACAGTGCTTCGCGACTTTGCACCCTTCTCGCGCACCTGCATCTTCTTTCTTATCACTCTGTCTCTGCTCTGCTTTTCTCTCTTCTTCTCTTCTCTTCTCTGAGTCTTCCCACCTCTGCTTTTCCATCTGTCCATATTGTGGGAAGTTTGACTTCTTTTTTTTTTTCGATAAAAGACGGGATGCCCTATTCAAACCAGTGGTTTAACACATCGTTTTCCCATTATTTCATGGTCATCTTGGGAAATAATCGGAACACATGCCTCATTTTGGACCAACCCAACTATCGATGATTATCATATTGTTGGTGATATATCCCAAAACATGTATCTGTCTATACATATTATATATGTATGTGTGTTTATTAATATATATATATATGTATATATATACATGGATATATATATATATGGTGGGCTACCCATGGTTCATCATGTTTCATGCAAACAATCTGTCGATGTCGGGCTGCGTCCCATCGATCTTAAAGCTCTGGAAGAAGCCGCCGCTCGCATCCAGTGCCCTGCCGGGTTGGGTTGGGCTTGGGGGTGGGCCGTTTTGGTTCCACTAGGTGGGTGGGGGCATGGTGTAAAATATGTATGTATGTCTGTATGTCTGTCTGTCTGTCTGCCTGCCTGCCTGTCTGTATGTGTCTGTATGTGTGTCTGTATGTGTGTATGTATGTGTGCATGTATGTGTGCATGTATGTGTGTATGTATGTGTGCATGTATGTGTGCACGTATGTCTGCATGTATGTATGCATGTATGTCTGCATGTATGTATGCATGTATGTATGCATGTATGTATGCATGTATGTATGCATGTATGTATGCATGTATGTATGCATGTATGTATGCATCTATGTATGCATGTATGTATGCATGTATGTATGCATGTATGTATGCATGTATGTATGCATGTATGT